CTATTTCTGTACCGTGACAAATGGGATAGGGATTGTAAAGGGTAATGTAAGAGCGAGAGATGCTATGGTGCTACGAGTTACAGTGAGTCCGCGTAGGGCCGAGAGTTGTGATAAGTTAACAAATGAGGAAATCATTCTAGACTCAGCAGTGGGTTACTGGGAACGGTATTTTTAAAGAGCGGTTGTTTTTTCCTCTTTCAAAATGCCACTGCCCAGAGACACAGCTCTCTGAGCGTTCAGTAGGGACCGCCTATAAACAGACATATTTCAAGGCGCATTTGCGCCAAATAAGCGATGCTAGAATGGCCGCGCGAGACTCACGCTTGGAGCATGTTCTGGCTTAGTGCTTGAGGACAGAGAGAAGGAATGGCTGGGCTTCCGGAAGGAACAGCGTTACCCTACCTGATCGTCGTACGAATTTTTCCCAGGTCTTGGCATCACTCAGAGCGCCGGCGGTGCGGCCACAGTAGTGCACGGAGAGTAGCGGCCGAGCGACCCGAGCACGCGAGAGCGACAGCACACCGAACGGACTCACTGCACCGCGCAGTGCGCCATCACACAACTCGTTCCGAAAGCCATTTATGGACGCACAGGACAGCATCTGGGATGCGCGAGCACCGTGAACATGGCGCAGCTGCGACCGCCCGCTATCCTAGGGGCGGGGCGGAATGCAACTCGCTGAACCAATCGATTTCATGCGGCGTCTAATTGTCATCATTCGCTCAGTTAACAGTGCAACTGGTGGGTTACGGTACAATAACGGGGAATGCTGCACAAGCAAGTAGCAGAGAGGGAGGAACTTCCTGCATCGGGAGTGCGCTGTGCCTCATCTTCCTCAGCCATTTGTAGGAGCAAGCATGCCTGCTTTTCAGCAAAAGTTGGCGCTTCGCACGAAAAGGCGGGGCAAGCTCCGATTGCTCTGTGAGGTTTGGGGATGCAGTCAGATCTCATGTGTCATTTTCTGGTGCAAGCCTATATCTGTCTTACTGCAAACTTTGGAATAGTTCTAGATTTTATTCATTGTTTTCTATAGTTAGAGGTCATTTTTTCGACTATCATGAAAAGTAAAATAATAATACGCCTGAAAATTTATATCATTGGGCCTACCCATCTAGTTTAAAGACCTAAATAGTGAACAACGACAGGCCTTCCCAGTGAATTGGTAAGAACACTTTGTAAGCAGGAGAGACAAAACGGTTTTTGTGCATTATTTTCTCATTGTCAAACAAATGAAGTGACTCTTTTCTGTTGTTTTCGGAAGAAATTATCATTTGTGTTGAAAGGGGACGGTAAAAATGCTAATTTGATAACAAAATAGCTGGCTGTGGCAAAAAAATACGCATGCTTAACATTACATTCGAATTACTATTATGTGATGAGGTTAACACTTTAAGGTTTTGCTCTAGTGAGGAAGAATGAATTATGGAAAAATCGGATGCTTCGTTATTGTTTCGCTTCAGTGCATTCTGTATCAAAATGGCTTTTTCTTGAGCTCCAAGTAGGGAGAGCAATATAGCTAATTAAAATATTTGCTTGGCTTACATTCGATCTTTCCTCATTCTGATTGGAGATGAATGAATTCTGGCAGCTATTCCTAAACTAAAATTTGCAGACTTCAGAGACTTGTTTTTTGCGCTAAAGCTGAAAAATCAAGACGTCAACAGTATGAACTGTAGTTGCTTTACACTTTAACACGTGCACTTATGCTAGCAGCGTTTGTTCTTTTCTTGCATACAGGTGAAAAATCTCGGCTGGAATGGGGCGATATTTTTGCATCATGGGCCCGTTTGAAATTTCAGGCAGAATGTGTAATTACAGTAAATATAGCATGAAGGTTTTAACGGCAGTACGCATACTCAAGTTTGTTGTATCAGCACACGAGGTTTAGACATTTATGAAAGCCGATTTTACGATTCTGTGACACAAAAGACACACTAGCATTTCAGAAAAATAATTTTCGTCGTCTAATTGCAAGAAAGGATGACAAAAGTGTTGCACTTTGAGTATATTCGTGCGTAGAATAAATGCGAAAGTAGAAGCTTATTTTCGCCTAAGTATTTGCAAATGGTAAGTAAACACTTTCAGAAAGTCACAACTTTTTGATCAGTCTGGTTGAAGAGTAGAGGGGTACCAGAATGTCCAAAATTGGAAATTTACTAATGTGTAACCCGAGACCAAAGTGTGCCTCGAAATTGATTATGGAAGCTCCAAGTCACATTTAGACATAGAATATCCTAGTAAAATTCCAGCTTCCTAACTTGCTCCATTTCCAAAATCGTCGGTTCACTACAAACATTTTTGATGTTCTCAAACGTGGGACGTAGATACGGGACAGAACTCAATTTTGGTATACGAGTTCCGACATGGACGATAAATGTTTTCTTTTTCTTGTTCACTCTCAAGTTGGCGCGATGACAATAATTGGCCAACAAACGGGCTGCCCGTGCGAAGATGCGTTTTTTGCATAGTTCCCCGC